TTCCAGTCCACCATGTCATAAGCCTTTTCTAAATCAAACTTACAAACCAATCATTTTTGCGTCTCCCTTTTTCTAAACTCTACACATTCATTGGCAATGAGAATTTGATCCATTATATGTCTCCCATAAACAAAAGCCCCTTGGTTTGGAGAAATCATTGAGCGAAGTACATTTTTTATTCTTAGGGCCAAAACATCGGAAATGATTTTGTACATGCTTCTTATTAGACTTATAGGTCTGAAGTCCTTTGGTATCAACACAATGAAAGTTGCATTAAATTTCCCCCCCCCCCCCTCATAGAATTCATCAAAAACCTCCATCAGGTCATCCCTGATTATCTTCCAACAATCTTGATAGAATGCCATCGTAAAATCATCAAGTCCTGGGGCTTTCGATCTCTTTATCGAGAAAACTGCATTTTCACTTTCTGAATCTCAAATTTTTTTCCAAGTTTTCCCATATCTCTCTATTTCCATCCCTCCACTCCAGTCCCTCTAAACCTTCTCTTGAACTCCTCAGACCCTCAGAGTGTTTTCACATGGTTCACAAAGGCATTATCTATGTCCTCATCTCTTTTCAATACTTGCCCATTCCATTCCAATTTCAGTACCGAGTTTTTCCTCTTTCTCCCATTTACCAACATATGGAAAAAACTGGTATTACCATCCCCTTCCCTTAGCCATTGACATCTAGATTTTTGCCTCCAAGTAACCTCCTCTTTCTTAGAATGTCTTCCAGATCCTTTTTCAACCCCCATCTCTCTTTCCTGTCTTCTGAATTCAGACTTCTCTCAGCTTCCACCCCATCCAACTCCTCTATTCTACCTAGGATTTCCTGTTTTGTTTCTTCAATCCTTCCAAAAATCTCTTTATTCCAAATCTTAATTCTTGCTTTCAGCATCTGTAGTTTCTCATAGAATCTAAAACCCTTCTACCTGAATTCCACTTGATCCTCCTCCCACCACTCCTTCACCTTAGGTAAGAAATCAGGGTGCGGTAGCCACATATTCTCAAATCTAAAAGGGCAAGGGCCACCCCCAACCCTCTCTTGGGCCAGACTTATTGGGCAATGGTTTGAAACTGGTCTTGGTAGTGCTGTGACCACTAATCCCTGCCATTACATTTCCCAATCAGTTGTGAAAAGGAATCTTTCTAACTTGCAGGAAGTGGGGACTTCTTGAAAATTTGACGAAGTGTAAAATTTGCCTTTTGAATAGGTAGGTCCCGCAACTCAAAGGTTTCTACAAAGAGGTTAAACTTCCTCATACTCAATGTCATCCGATGGTTTGGGTAGTTTGATTCACTTAAGAATTTTATGGCATTAAAATCTCCCCCCAAACACCAAGGACCGTCCCATAAACCTCTCATTGCCGTTAACTCCTCCCAAAGTCCCTCCTTTCCTTACAAGGGGTGGGTCCATACACACTAGTGACTAGTTAAAACCCATTCCCAATCATCCACTTTCCTCTTCAGCTTTATGGACACTGAGTACTTCCCAATTAACTCTTCAATACACTCCAATTCTGCATTTTTCCACAAAGTTATAATTCCCCCTGATGCTCCCCATGTTTGTGCATATGCCCAACTTACGTCTCTAGCTGACCATCTCACCCATTTCCGGACAGCTTAGATTCTTGAATCAACCCAATGTCCAGTTTTTCTCTTCTCAACAAATGCCTAATCAATCACTCCTTTTTCTCTTGAGCTTCCTAACCCTCTTACATTCCAACTTATCTATTTCATGGATTCTATGAGCTGCCTTTTTGGCATGCCCCTTGAGGCAAGCCTAAACAAGTCCATGTTAGGGTCTTAAATTCTTAGTTCTCACATAAGAATAATGATTTTATAATTTTAATTGCTTGTTAAAAAGATATTTTATTAGGATGAATGAATGAACAACATTAGCAAATAGGGGTTCTCAAAGCCCCCAGCACGAGAACCCCCGAACCAGCCGCTAGGTTCAAAAAAAGCAGAAAAGCATGAAATTTTCGAAAGGCGCACACATGGGCTGAGGCAAAGGCGCCTCACGTCATTTGAAAGGACTGCACCTAGAACCTAGTTGAGGCACATGCCCTAAAATGCGCCTCACTTGTGTGCCTAGGCGCGCCTTTTAAATCACTAAGTAGAAGAAGCTGTTGGGTGGTTTAAAGGATTTTTAGATGGTATGATCTTTACAAAAATGGAAGGAGAATGGAGAGCAATGAAGTTGATGATAGGAGATGTGGTAAAAGGGAGAAGTATTTTGAATGGAAGGTAAATTGCGCTTTGGAAGTTTTCTGGATAGGGAAAGACACAACTTGTTTGTTTTCTAGAGGGGAGGAAAAATGCAGGTTGGATGGAGATATATATGCAGATTCAGGCATTCTGGTTGTTTTTGGTAAAAAGTAAAAAAAGTACTTGATACAATATAAAGAAGCCAAGGTTCAACTGTTCAGGATTGCTGCAGGGTGGAGTCCAAGGAGGAAAAAAAGCTTTTGATGGCAATTCATGTCGTAGAATTTAAAAAAGGCCATTAGCAAGGGGAGAGAGAATTGGGAGAATAGATTAGTGGTATTAGAAATGGAGAAGATAGATGATTGGTTTTCTATAGGTGAAGATTTGAGTCATGTGTTGGGCTGACGGGTTCGTTAATGCTAACCCCTTTTGAAACAAACAAAGCTTTATTGGATCTGCTAGAAGAGAAAGTGAATGTTGTTGCCTTCTCTTTTCAAATGAAGGTTGGACAGATCTTTTTATCTAGATGAGTAGAAAGGTTTAATTTTTAAATTGTGAATCATCTCAATAATGTGCAAATCGAATTTCCATGAGAGAATAAGTTTCTGTCCTAGGATCGGTCTAGAATAATCACCATATTTTGAATTGAAGAATGGGTTGATTGTTACCTGATCCGGATGCCACAATCACAGCTCCCAAAGTGGTGAAACATGCCCAAGAATTCAGCCAAAGTCGAGCTCCAAGATTGAAGATGGGACAATCAAGAATGAATGAAGATTGGTTCAATCAGTTTGTGAGTATTAGATGATGATCTTGTGCACTCCTATGGGCAGATCGAATCTTCACTTGTGGGTAGCTTATAATCACTCAAAAGGTTGATGTTCTTGCTGGAAAAGCACTGAACAAATAGAGAAAAGAGTCTCCTTTCAGCCTTGGTCAAACTAGGGTTTTGGGAGAACTATTAATGATGTTGCAAAAAGTCTCTCAAGACTCCTAGCTGTATCCTATATCGAGCTGGATGCTTAGAGTCCTAAAAGGAGTTTCCTAATCAGACTTCTTACTGAATTAGAAGTTCTCCAATTAGGAAATAATCCTAATCAAACTAGGATCAAGAGAGAATAAGTGATTTCCCCAATTTGACCTAAACTATCCAACTACTTATTTTCCTAGGCATACCAGGTGAGTGATTTATCTAATTAATCTTGTTGGAGTCCAAATCAACCACAAGAGTAATCTGAATTTTCTCACCTTTTGATTGGTCTATTTGACCTGAATCTTGCATGGCATGGGACCCACTAAGTTCCCAAATCAAACCATAAGGGTCTGACCCATGTAATAATACACATGGGCCGAATTCACTAGTTGAACATAGTGAACTTCCCACTGAATCTAATTTGGCTTAGAACTGGCCCATCACTTAAATATAACTGGGGTTTGGGTTTCAACCATCCTATGAGCCCAAACCCAATGGTTTAACTTGAGAAAAGTGCTCATTAGGTTTCAGCCCAAGTAGACACTTGCTTGTAACCTCTCAGCCAGTAATATCATAAACTGTTCACAGAGAAGGACTTTTTCTCTGACTCGATGATGCAATGTCACGCCCTCTACTCATATGGATCTTGGGATTGAAGTCTTTTGCGAACCTTTTTTATAAAATAAACTATTTATAGAAATAAATATAAATACATTTTGCAAATCGATCTCAAAACTAATTGAAATCCACTACTGGCAGTTTTAGTTTTCCATTAGAGATAATGTATTTTAGGATATTCTCTTTGTCTGACAAAGTGGCTGATCCTATAACAATGATCACCCACTCAAGTGATATTCCAAAGTCTAGACTGCTCCAACATAATCAGGTATTTGACCCTAAGTGGATCTCGTTGGTTGGGTTGCCAAAAATAGCCTAGTCCAATACTTGGTGCAATATCATTATCAAGTTGGGGGATAAGTGCAACTTTCCAGTTTTGCCCATTTGGTTCCAAGGTCCAGGGCATAATTGGAAATGGTCCCTATTTATTGTTTCATTAAACACCCGCTCATTGCACCTTAGGTCTAACCCTAGCAGTTGAGACAGATTGCTCCACCAATTTGGTGGTACAATAGTGTCAACTTTGGCATGATAAACTTCCCAAGTTCATCAAATGGCTAAGAACGTTTTAAATTAACACAAGTCTCATAAATATCCAATTTATGGGGTAATTCACAGATACATACTAAAGCACACATGAAATAACAATATTCTAATTTTATAATTTTTATTTACTAATAAACATTAGATTACGTCGGTCTGATTGGATCTGAAGGCATACACTGTTTAACAGTGTGGAGCAGTTGCCTTGACAGAATAATTTAGGTGAATAAGAAACAGACTAGACAGTGGTCATAACAAATTTACTGCATTATTGAACTTCTTCTAAATCTTGTTATCCAAAGGAAAATAAAGATGCGAATGGATTCTTAAAAGGAAGAAGAAAAATCCAAAAGCTACAGCCAAAAGAACACAATTAACCTGACAATTTTAGCTTGTTATAGTAGGAGGATACATGATTTTATCCAAGTTGTTGAATCCAGTGGCGTCCATGGCAATCCACTTGTCCATAAGGCATAATGTTGCACCACATTCTTTCTGCATCTAATAAAATATTCATGGATCTCTTTGGTTATCTTTCTTACATCCTTTATCTATGTGAATATTAGGTGTCTAAATCATCTAATCATTGCTATATTTTCTCTCACTTGCCACACTTAAATTTAATCATATTTAAAAAAATATTTTTCTGGCAGGCAGGGATACTGAAGGAAGAATTTAACATTGATTTGCGTGTCATGGGAATCACTGGCTCAAGGACAATGATTTTGAGTGACTTGTACGTCATATCTTATTTGTATTACTTTTTAACTCTTTTCTGTCATATAGATTATTATAGATACTAGAGTGGTTGTCTAATTGCCAAAATCACTAATGGATCTTTAAAAGAGGAACATGATAAATAATATTTTGTAGCAGTGCATGTTATTTACTGCAGATTTCTAGATTGATATCAATTGAGTACTGATTTGTTATTGCCTCTATGATTGAAAGTGGATCTAAGATCTTACCTTCGGTTTGTCTATTAGTAGCAATTGTATGGATTTTAATTTCAGCCATGTAAGATATTTTAAAAAATGAAGGCGAGGTAAAAGATGCAAGCTCTCTTTTTGATAATTTTAAAAGTGATTCCATGACCTGGTGTTCCCTATTCAGGAGATGTTCTGTGTACTTGCTATAGATTAGCAAGATTGTTGGCTGTACAGAAATTAATCTGGTATTTCCAGCACTATGCAAAATGTCTTTCACTACCCTCTTTCTTTCTAGGCCATCTGCTGGGGGTTCATTGAACTTAGAATCCCACTGAATGAGATGAATGGTGTTCATCCAGAACTCTTGTTCTTTTGCCCCTAAATATGATGTGGAAATATCTAGGGGCCTCTTGATGGTGATCTCATCCTGCCTATTAGGTGAGTTCCTTATGCCTTGTAGAAAAGATACGACCACTGCTCTTGTGGTTGTGTCATTTGTCCAGAACATGCCATTGATTACCCATCCAGATGACCCCTAAATCCACCACTAATTCCTGATGGCCTCATGGCCCCAAGTTCCCTAGAGAGCAGCCATGAAAGATGGGCGGCTTTATCTGACTTTTTTCAGGGCAGTCCATGCCTTGGTTGATATCTCATGTCACCACCTTCTGAAAGTGGAGTTTATGGGGAATTTTCTATACTTTTCACTCTTAGAAATCCAATGTGCCATTCTTATTGTGATCAATCCATAATGAAGTTGGCTTTTCATCCTTTTGCCTTGGAAGATTCTCACATTTCTTTCTCGTCATTGACCTCACAATCTGTACATTATTTTCCTTCTCTTTAATCTGGGTGAGAGGAGGAGGTCTCAAATAAGCCAACTATGTTTGCTGTGCTGGGTCTTTCTGTTATGGGCCCGAGAATAGGATCTCGTCACGGGTCGGTCCACGGGGAAAACCTCCTGTTTTCCCTTGTTCCTCCCTTTTCTTGAGGAACCTATTTTAGCGCCTTAATGGTGATTTGTTCAAGAGATCACCAACTCTCCTCACTCTTTTCTTGACTGAAATTTTCGATGCCTTTATTGAATAATATCAGCTCCTTAAATAGGAGATTACAAGAGATAAGGTCCTACTTTTAGGAAGGCTCCTTGCTAATTAGGAAGACTCCCTACTAATCTATCCTACTGAACTGATAAGATAAGATAAGACTGAACTGATAAGATAAGATAGATAAGATAAGACTCCCTTAATCTATCCTACTGAACTGATAAGATAAGAACTGTATCTAGCTAGAATTAGATAAGATGAGAATCAGCAAATCTTGCTCCCTTTACTGCTGCTGCCGGCGGTGATATGTCTTCCCAATAAAGCGTCCACATCACTTTCTACCTAACACCAGAGGCAGAAACTGTTTGTAAGATCCAACCAGTTGTAACACAGGATGACAGGAACAAGATGTTGGTGCATATCTGATTGTGGGGATAATTTCCTAGTCTTCCTTCTCCATTGTTGGTGCATATCTTGTAAAGATGGAAATGGATAGCTGATTACCCAGATACCTGATGTACCTGGCTCCAATTAGTTGGGTTTGGATCCCAAAATTTTGGACCCGAGCACAACTAGGTCCAAATTAGGCCTCTAAATTTAAGTTCTGTTAAGAATCAGGTTCAACCCTGGGCCCATTAGTTAATGTGAAATATATTTAAGTGATTTAAATTAAGTCTTTGAGTCTTAAAATTTGTAGGAGGGGTAGAACATATCCACTTTTGTCCCTTCATTATTAATTGCATTCATGCAATAAAATTTATGAGAACGAACTTTTGGACATTCTTCTGTTTATTTCAGAAACCTCTGTTAAGTAATTGGACTAGCATTCCTAATGAAGTTATTTGAGGGTGGAAATTCTCATAATCATTCTCTGCAGTTAAATTGGAAATTAATTCAATTCCTTGTTTCTTGCATATGGTGCCTCTGATCCCCAGTTTTTGAGTCACAGTGACATATTGGTAGTTCACTATCATGGTTTAAATGTTTTTGCTGCTATTTATCAAAAAAACGTGTCTTTGCTTCTAAGTTCTGGGAACATTTCTGTTATGGTTTTCCACAGGGGAATTGACTTGTCTAGATGGAGGGAACTTCAAAAAGAGAAGGGACAAATGGCTGACTTGGATAAATTTGTTCAACATGTACATGGAAATCATTTCATTCCAAATACTGTGTTGGTTGATTGTACGGCAGATACTAATGTTGCGAGCCATTACTATGAGTGGTTGCGCAAAGGAATTCATGTAATCACCCCAAATAAAAAAGCTAATTCAGGACCTCTTGATAAGGTAATTAACAATTTGGTGACTTTAGTTCTCAAAGGCTAGTAAGTAGCAACTCCCAAAGGTTTGTGCATATTCATTTAATTCATCAATATCTTTCAATTGTAAATTCATGATGGCATTGTTTCCTCTTGCAAGAAAAATAATGGATCGGATGTAGATTTAACCCCACCTGATCCGATTAAAATCTGTATCTGATTATTGTTTTTGATCATTAACAGAAGCTTTTATTAATTAGAGAAATAGAAATTACAAGGGAAGCAAAGGGGAGAGACAAAATCTCTTAACCCCCCTGAAAAAAAAAAGAAAACAGAAAAACAATTACGACACAGCCCAAAATAATTGTTCCTGTCCCATCCCTTGTTTAGCCAGAGCATCTGGGTCTGATTATTATAAATACTATATATAAAATGTATAATTATATGTAAACATAATATATAATTAAAACATTATATAAAATTAATGTAATTATATACACATTAATTTATATAATTTTATACTTTATACTACATATAAATTTAATATTTTATATTTATATTAATTTATTAAATATAAGTTAAATAAGTTAAGAAGCAATTGATTTTTTATTTTTTAAGTTTATTTCTTTATTTTAATAAATTTGAAGGGGAATTGGATTAAATCGAAATCCAATATGATTCAAATATGATTTGCGGTTCCAAAGTACAGACTGGATTTTGGATTGGATTTGTTGGATTGAATATTATATTAGTTGGATCAGATTCAGATTTTGATGGATCTGGTTCAAATCTGACCCAATTATAGCCCTAAGTAGAAGGCTCTAGAAGAGCAAGGGGAAGAAACACCGAAAAAAAAGTTTAAAATTGTAAGGAATGATCTAAGGTCTTGTAATTTAACAGAAAAAAATGGCTCCTGATAGAGTAGAATGGCAGGACTGGATTAGTGTAGCTGAGCCAAATGGTTGGGTTAAGGCCAGTTGAGTTGTGTCATATTTGTCATGATTATATATACTTGAAATCATTTTTGTTATCAACAGAAAGGCACTATCTGGGATGAGATGTTCTGTTTGGCATGGAGGTGGGGTTTTAGATTATTGAAGAAATTTCTATTTGTTAAACTCAATGCAAGAAATTCAAAACCAGTAAGTTTTGGTTTAGATAGAATATCTAAAGAAAATTCTGGTGGACATTAATATTGGATATAGTGGAGTTTGAGAACTATAGATTGAAAATGATGATTGAGTTGATAACTTTTCTTTTTTTAAATAACTGAATTTTGTCTGAATTCAGAGAAATGTAACATTACAGTCAGCCTTTGGGTAGGGTAGCGATTACTACCCAACCACATTAATAGGAGACATAAAGAAACATATTAAAAACAGGGAAAACATAATTAACTTCTAGTAAACCCATGCTTAGCTGAAGTATCATCCAATCTATCTACATTTCTAGTAAACCCTTGCTTAGCTGAAGTATCATCCAATCCATTTACATATCTAGTCACCCAATTGACCTTTATATTTCTATTCATTACCATAGCCAAAGTATCATCCAACCCATTTGCATATCTAGGCACCCAACTGATCTTTATGTGTCTGTTCATTACCAACCATTTGATTTTCCTTGGTTCATTTCTTTAACCCCACACTGCTTTTTCATTATTTTTAGCCACCCAGTTACAACCTTGGAGTCACTTTCAATAATCAAGTTATTCAAATTCATTTCTTTAGCCTGTTGTAGACCTTGGAGACTTGGAGTACAGCCTGGAGCTTAGCCCTTGTAGAATTCCCAACACGGATTGGACTCAAACATTGCAATGTCGTTTTCTCTAAAAACCCCTCCCACTCCTAGGAGGAAATAGATGGTATAAGGTTAAAATGAGGTGTCCATGGGTCCTTAGAGGGGGCTTCAACACCCTTAGTTTTACACATGAGAAGGGTGGAATTAGAGGCCATGGAGGTATGAGGGGATTTGCTGTGTTTTTGAGATGTTTGGAAATGGTTGACTCACCATTGCAAAATATACATGGTCAAATACTAGGAAGAGGGCACATTGGTAAAATTGGATAGGTTTGTGGTATCAAGTGTAAAGACAAATTCTTGCAATTTTCATTTGGAGCACTCCTCATGTCACCAATGGATCACAACCCAATACTATTGGATGGTCGAGGCATTCAATATAAACTAGCCACCTTTTTGCTCTGAATGTATTAGGGCTGCAACTTGGGCAGGTCCAACTGAGATTGACTCGACCCAACCTGAGTTTTTGCACCAATTGGGCCTGAATTTTTGAGCTATGGGTTGGGCTTGGGCTAGAAAACTTGGGCATGGCCCAAACATGTGTTGGGGTTGGGTTGAGGCCTCAGATTTCCCGAGTCCATCTGAATAATAGATTGTATACACCCTAAATAATAGATTGTATTTGGTATGTAGATGATTAGCCTAAACTTACACCCATGCACAATGCACATATTATGTCTTTTATTTATATAAAAATCTCTCTCTCTCTCTCTCTCTATATATATATATATATGTGTGTGTGTGTGTGTGTGTGTGTGTGTGTGTGTGTGCACGTGTTTATATATATATGGTCATTTATTAATGAATGTATGCATATTTTTAATCCATTGGGTTATGAGGCCAATAAAAGATGGATGTGCAAAATATATGAGAAAAATCTTTCAAACCTGACCAACCTTCCTAGGCCCACATGAACTGACTTAAGTCTGGCCTGAGTTGTGTTGGGTTAATCTTGGTTTGGGCCTGAGTTGGTAAGCTTCTGCTTAGCCTTCGGTTGGGACAGCCCTTAGTCTAAGCTTTGAATCTTATGGTTGAACCTCAACCTGACCCAACTTGGCCAAGTTGCACCCCTAGAATGTATCTTGCTAGAAGGTGGTTTTGTGAAGTTGGTACAACAATGTTGGAATGAGATGTAGTTGAAGGTTCAGCCAGCCTTGTATTAAGAAGCTCAAGTGCTTAGAGTAACAAAGGAGTGGAAGAACATGGTATTCGAAGGGGTGGGCGAAAAAAAAGGGAATGTTTGGGCATAATAGTAAAAGTGGAAAAAATAGAGGAGATAGGTAGGATGTCACCAATGGATAACAATAAAAAGGGAAGGAGGGAGGTTCTCTCCATTCAATGAAGGTATTGGGATGGAGAAACTTCATGGATGTCACTGACAAGAGTTAGGAAGAACAAAAAAGGTTGGTTCATTGTGGTAGTAGAAAAATTTGGAAAAAAAATAAATGATTGATGATGTGTTCCTGAAGGGAAGGAGAATAGGGGCTGGGTTTCTTTCATAGATAAACTACAAGCATTCCTTCAAGTAGATGAAGAGAACCCAATGAAATGAAAAAATTGTAAGCAAGGAAAGTTAGGGTTGTGAATCACTTACCCGGTTGGATAGCCTATCTTGAAAAGAGAATGAGGAGAGAGTTGATAGTTTCGAAGATTAGGTGTCAATATCTTGCCAAATCTCAATTGCCAGTTTGTGTACAAATCAAAAGTTTTTGGTGGAAATGGAACAAGGGCAATGGGAACATTGGCAGGTTTTTATTGCATGTCTTTAGGACACCACCTAGGGAAGCTAGGAAGTTGGAGAAGTTAATGAGGGATTTCCTGTGGGAACTGAGACGAGGGAAAAAGGATCATTTAATTAACTGGGAAATTGTGTATAGAGGTAAATAAGAGGGGGGTTTGGGAATTGGGAGGGTGGTTGAAAAAATCAAGCTTTCTTGGGGAAATGACTATGGCAATGGCCATTGGAAAGCGGCAGGCTTTGGCATGAAGTGGTGGGAAGCATTCATGGGAGCTCGACAAGTGGGTGGGATGCTGGTGTTTCAAGGCAGGCCAACTTTCCAGCACCTTGGAAGGCCATTCATAACACCTTTCCTCATTTTCTTAGGGTCGTCAGGTATGAAGTTTGCCTTGGTAATGTTGTCCATTTTTGGGAAGATATTTGGATTAGAAACACCTCTCTAAAGGACCTTTTCCCTTTGTTATTTTCTGTTTCATTGTATAAAAAGAGGTGGTCTCAAAATTTATTTCATCTTCGGGAACACCTATGGCTCCTAGGGATTTTGGTTTTTGTAGGGGATTAAGGGATGAGGAAATTGACTCCCTCTCTGACTTGCTTTGTTTTCTTAATTAGGTTTGTTTAGATCCCTCCAAGCCAGACAAAAGGGTGTGCACTCCTAGACTCAAAAGGTCCTTTACTTGTGCTTCTTATTTTAAATCCATTGCTCATTCCTCTGTCCAACAGCCTTTTTCCTTAATGGAAATTTGGTGCAGGCCAGTTCCCTCAAAGGTTATGGCTTTTTGTTGGGAAGTTTATTATGGGAAAGTAACCACTCTAGATAACCTACAAAAGTGGAGACCCTTCCTTTGTGTTTCTCCCAACTGGTGTACCCTTTGTAGAGCCCATGGGGAAGATGGTTGTCATCTACTCTTGGCTACTCTCATTGATTGGGGATAATTGGAGCTTGCCAACAGAAATCTGCATGATCTTTGAACGGTCTACTTTCCCTTGACCTACAAAAAGAGGAGAATTATATGGAAGTAGCTTGGATAATCTAGGGTTATTTGGAATGGGGGTGTTTTGAGGAATGAGTTTGGAGAGGTGGTACTGCTCTACTCGGGTGCTTTAGGAGATGGAGATTCTATTAGGGAAGAGGTATTAGCTGCTGTACAAGGGGTGCAATTTGCAAATTGGGGGTAGAGTAGTTAATCATTGAAAGGGATTCCAAGGTGGTGGTGGGCTGGCTGAAAAACCCCGACGATACTATATGGTGTTACAAGAATGAAATTAAGAAATTTAATTGGTTGACAAGGAATATGCTGGTTTCTATAGTGGGAGGGGAGTGTAGAGAACACAGTGGGGACCCCAAGAGAGAGGGTTGATCTTAATGATCTGCCGACCCACTCTTAATATTTATATATGTTGACTAACTGTAAAGGGGCTGAATTGCCCTTATTGCTTACATGGCAAATAAACTAATAATAAAGCTGAAATAACAAGCTATAACAACAA